CCCCCCCCCCCCCCCGCCCCCCCCAGCCACAATGGCCGACTTAGGAGTATGCTGAGTTCCCTTTCCACCTCGGGGCCTTCACTTCGCCCTTCCCTGTCCAAAATGCCCTTCTCCAACTCCAGACATGAGCTGGTCCTCGCACCCTCTGGTCTCACACCATCTGAATCTAAACACACTCGTGCAATTACGTGTATACTTTCTGTACACCCACTGAAAGCAGTGGTAAGAGGGAACTGACTGTAGTAAGTGGCCCCAGCCCCCTCGTCACCCTCTGCAGGGCCAAGGCTCCTATGCCCAACGAGATGGACAGAGATGCGCCAAAGCACCGCCTGGCAAGACCGCCCTCTGTCAGAACTGAAACACCCATGCCTCGGGACCACGGGCTCGTGACCCATGTAACAAGGCTAACTTTTTTTTTTTTTTTTTTGGAGAGGTTTTTGCTATAGGGCACGTGCGCTCACCAGACAGAGAAAGACATAGAGATTGAAAGCAAGAAATCACCCCCCAGGGGGGATGGTCACGCCACAATCCCTTCTCCTCCAGTCTCCTCTCGGGATCTTGGGCACGCACGCACTCGCGCCCGGCGTGAGTTTTTTAAGCCACCGGGTCCGGGACGCGAACCATGGTCGACTACGTGGGAGTCCAGCGACATAGCCATTATGCTAACTGCTGGTTCCCAAGGCTAACTATTTTTAAGACATAATAAACTGAGAAGGAGACAAACTTTAAGAGCAGTCTGTTCAGAGCAGGGAAGCTGGGGTACGCACGCTGGTGCCATCATAAAGCTACCGGGTAAGGGGCGTTGGAAAGAGCACAGGAAAGTGAAGAGACAGTTGGGAGGAGAGACATTAAACTACCTCCAGTAAAGCCCCTGTTCAAAGGACCAAGACTGAGTTGAGAGGGGAGGGAGAAACCCTGAAGGAAAGCAAAAGCCCCGACTATATCTCAGCAGATACAGCGCTGTGCAGAGACCGGCGAGAGCTAACCCAGGAGAACCTGCACAGGACGGCAGTGTTCCCTGGCCGAGGGCCGGCATTTCAGCCGCTCTCCTGAGTGCACTCACATGGAGCGACCACCTTCATGGCGTCACCCGCGAGCGGTCGTGCGTTTACTGGCTGAATGACTGACTGTGTGGCCAGACGTCCAAGAATTCCATCAGCTGGAGCCGGTCACTCCTACTTGTAGACCATGAGAGTCTGCAGTGAGTCCTCGGCCAGTAGGAGGAATGCTCTGAAAGGGCTCGAGTCTTCCATAACCTTCCTAGTGTGGGGCACTGTTTGCATGAATTCATGAACATGATCTTCCCTCCCATCTCCTGCACAACCAAAAAACCGAAGGAGCAACATGGCTGACTGACTCCAAAGGCAACACCTCACTCCTTTCCCTGCCTCTTTCCGGTGGAGATGCTAGTGGGTTACGATACTGCTGAGCGATAGAAAGGCAAGGAAAAAATAATAAGCATTATACAATCTACAAACCAGATCGAGGCAGGAAACGACCAAAGACACTGAATTTTCAATATAATCTAGAGGCTGAAGGAAAACCAGCCCACGGACCGGAAGTAGTAGTTTAGCATGTTTAGCTTTGTTGTTCTGTACGAGTGCTTCTCTCTTCAGTCAACACATGTAGCTGGGGCTATCTAACTGATCACATTTCTTTTTAGGGGCTGGCAGGTGGCATGGCGGTTAAGGTTCTAGAACCTCACATGGCCAACCACGGTTCAAGTCCTGGACCTAGCAGCTTGCTTTCTCACTTTCTCTTTCTGTCTATCTCTCTCTCTCTGGTCAAATTTTAAAAATAATAATACTAATACATAAAATTAAATAACTTTTTAAAATTTTTGGATCTTCTAGAAAAGAGGTATCACCGCCTTGGCCTCTTCCCACCCACTGGAGCCTGACGGACCATCACGCCAAGGGCACACCTCCTCGCTCGCTCTCACCTATTGCTGGGAAGCGAGTCTGAGACTGCTGGGCCACTGTGCTGAGAGGGTCCGGCCCGGGTATTCACCTATAAGGAGAGAAGGAATCTTGATCAGACTTGTGTTCTGAGGACACAGTTCTAATTAACCTATAATTTGCCACACATTTCTCATTTCACGAGGAAGGTTAATTAGCTTGTTGCTGCACAGACTCACGGCTGGAGTCTATTCAGTATATAGGTTAGAGAGCTGCACAACCTGTGTGTTACATAATACTTCAGTCCTGCCATTGTTCAAGTACTCCAGCAGTGAGAGAGAGAGAGAAGCAGGGTAATAACTGAATTCACACTCTAGAACACACACAAAAACAGCATGTTTCAAAACAAGTCCAGGGGTGAATAGTGAACTTCGGGTTATCATATCCCTTCTCCTCTACAACCAAGCAGAACACTGTAGAATGTTTCTTAGTCACTAAAAAATGAGACCCAAGTAATTAATTATCACATACTTGAGCCTAGTACGACAGCCATGTTTTCTTTCAGATGTAAAGCCTTAAGCAGGAATTCAGAATTCAAAATACACAGAACAGTGAAAAGACATTAACTAGATAAATGTTTCTAGCGTAAATATGTCAAAAGAAAAGAGGAGTATTCTGGGTACAATGCACTTATGTGCTTAATTAATCACCGAAATGAAGTCTATATTCTCACTCAAATAAATCTTTGTGGAGACCAACATCCAGGATTATCTTGAAGAAACTGGCCAATCAAACAATTCCAGATCGTTAAAAATACAGCTTCAAAACCCCAGTGTCTAAATATATACACCCATTGAGCAAATGCTATATATGAATCCTTTCTGCCTCCCATTTGGGGAAGAAAAAAAAAAAAAAGATCGCTTGTCAGAGCTTGAGAAAGTGCAGTTTTATTTGACATTTCAATAAGTGGAACACAGCATTACAAATCCATCTAACTTTACTGAAACAATTATTGAAATTCGTACCTTCAGGCCATGTATGTTCCGTTCCCCAGGAGGCTTGCAGGCTGAAACAGTAATTGACTAAATTGTAGAACACATCAGGGCCATTTACAAATTTGCTCAAAATGAATCGTTTAAAAAGAAATGAGGGTGACACCAAAATTAGCAGAGAGAAATGATTGAAAAGTGGCTCCCAAGACCCAAAGTGGGAATTATGAACCAGGGTTTTAACTTGCAGGAGTGAGCATTTATAAATGCAAAGAGCTTTCTGACACCACCTCATATAAATTCCAATTTCTGTTAAAACATATAAAAATCAAGTTAACTGAGCTAAAATGATTAGATTCCTTTCATAATTCAAATTTCTGCAATCTCTCCTCATTCTATTACACTGCGCATCTGCTGTCACTCAAACTACTTTGAAAATAGGTGAGGTTTTGTGGAGGGGGGTCGGGAGGAATAAGGATCTTTTGATGCCAAGAAGATTGCTAGAGATTCTAAGAATATTCAAGAGTAAATACTATTGGGTCGTTGGGAAAGTCATGATGCATATTTGCACAGAAAAACATAGAAAAACACATCATGCCTTTCCCAGGGACCTCATAGTTCGTAGCATTGTGAGCAGTCACGTTTATTAAGATACAGATGTATGACTAATTTAATTACATCGCTTGCACATCTTGACATCTGCTGATACTTAGGTCTAAAAATAAAGCAGTACCAGGAAAAATAATGCAAATTTCCTGAGACCATCCTGAGTTACAGGTTAGAACTGTTCCAGTCCAGCGAATACTTCCTCATCGAATGGTAAAAACACAAAAGCCTCCTGCCCACGTTGTGGGCTGCTTCCATTTGGAAACTAGTGCCCTACAAATTGTATGTTAAAGGGTCATCGATTTTGATTGATTGTTTGGGGAAGGATGAATTTGATTTTTCTCCCCTCCTTCCAGATGCATTATGTATTATCCCTCTGGTTCTGACAAGAAATAGAGCTGTCTAATACACAAAGTGAGTAATAATTACAAAGCACAGCAGATGCTTTAGTTTTGTTCAAGTATAGTCATATGTAGTATGTCCTTTTTCTAGAATCTCTACCTAAACTTTAACAAAAAGTTTTTACTTCTCTTTCTAAAATACATTAAAATTAAGACTCCAAATCGTCTCTCCTTAAAATGGAAATTAACTGCTTGAACAAAATAACCGTCAGATACATTTGATGCCTGGTCCTTTAGGGACCATCAATACTTACTAAGATGACACTTCAAAATATTTCCATTGAAGTAACCCGTACATTCATGAACTTCACTTTGTTTTTTTTTTAAGTTTTTGCCATAGGGCAAGTGCACTCACCAGAGAGAGAGAAGGTAACAAATTACCCCCTGGGGAGGGAGAGGAGATGGCTACACAGCAATCTCTTTTTCTCATCTCCTTTCAGGATTTTGGGCACACACACCTGCACCTGGTGTGATTTTCAAGTCATTAGGGCCAAGACTACAAATACCTAGCGGGCCATGTAGGATCCAGTGCCTTAACCTCCAGGCCACTCGCTGGCCCTGTGAACTTCATTTAATAAGAAAGTGGCTAACCATGGGAGTAGAGACAGATCTTCACTCACACATCTCCAACCTTAACACCTGCCTCGCTTTTCAAGGCTTCTCAGCCCTTGATCATTGGAAATCTAGACAGAATTCAAGTAGCCCAGTAATTTCATATTTTCTAAAGTGATAAAGTCAGAAGTCATTAGAGGCCCAGACTAGGGGGCAGTAGGTGGCACACTGAACTGCACCACAGTTTGCTGCAGAAGAACTGTAATGTCACTGAGTAGGAAGGCAAATTAATGGAAATTTGCAGCTTGTAAAAAAACTATCCCTTGTAGAGAAACAACTGTGAAACTTGCCCAAATTATCCAGTCATTGAGAACATTAAGAAATAGTGTTACCTCGTTACTGGCCTAACGTGTGCAAATAGCAACATTTCTCTTTTTTGGCTCCTGTTTTGGTGTTCAGACTTCAAGTACAACAGAACTGGATTAATTATAATCCTTGTTTTGGATTCTCACCAGCCCTGAATGGCCCAGTTCATTCATTTACCACTTTAATGAATTAATATTAATAACGTTCTATGCACTCCGCCCACATGTATGCTGGCTAAGCAGGATGACTCTCGAACCAGGATCTCCTCGTGGGTGGCCAAGCCGGCTGCCCTCGGAGACTTTGTCAGAGGAAGTAGGAGCCTACTGGTTAATTGAGCCATTCAAACTTCAGCGAGTTACAGGTAATGAAAGTCTAGAATGTTTAATTGCAAAACTCATACCGTGGTTATTTGTACAGTATCAGTTAACGAAGGTAAGTTCAACTTTTAATTATTTCGGTTAAGTCATTTCTAGAAGAGTTACTTAGAGAATTTCCTTATCTGTTCCATTAGTTAGAAAACATGGATTCCAAGTGGGGCAATGCGCTATCCTGGGTGAACGGTTTCATGGCTTATATAATTAAACTGTTCTTTTTAACCACGATTCCAATTTTGAGGGAACGTTTATAACCATAACTGATACGAGGCAAGTTCTGCTAAACCTAAAAGGGAAGACGGAACGGACTGGACCAAGTGACTGATTCACCAGGGCTCACCCTCGTAGCTTGGATTTTAGGAAAGTTATTCATATTTCATTTACGGAGATTTTCTGTTATTTAGGAAATACCTCCCCAGCAAACCTAGCGCCAGAGAGTCCTCCAAAATGTCTCTCCTGAAGTCCCTCAGTAAACGTAGCTTCTCCTCAATAGCAGCTTTGGCTGCCATCATAATTTATAAACATCCAGAAGTCAAGTCGTTCGTTGCCTTGGTTTAGAAACCATGTGGCCCCCCAAAGAATTCTTTAAGCGAATGTAAGTATGTACTTCAAAAACAAAAAACAATCTAGTTAGTTTAATTTACTCTAGTAAATTAGATATTTTATCTGCCATAACTATAATACAGCCTGCAATCCCCACGATAATGAATACTTCTTTTGTTTTTTCAAATTAAGAGCTAAACATCATGTTATGTGCATTTAAACCTTTAGAAAACATAACTGTTGATGAAACAGTTTACTGAAATAATCATTGTTGATTAGAATTTGTTCAACATTACCTCTTGGAAATATGAGCAGAGGCTCTATTAACTGTCCATTTACTTGCTGCTCCATTACTGTGGAATAATACTGCAAAGAGATTATAGAAAGAGATTACTCAGTAATGTATGAACACTGGAACAGACACTTATGGGTTGTTTAATTCATAGTACTTTTGTAAATTGCTGGTATACACACATCAGCCTTGAGAATACTTTCTCCCTGTTTGCACATCAAAATGATTACAGCGGGGGAACCAGCAGTTGGCGTAATGGCTATGTCGCTGGACTCCCACGTGGTCGACCGCGGTTCGTGTCCCGGACCCAGTGGCTTGAAACTCACGCCGGGCGCGTGTGCGTGCGTGCCCAAGATCCCGAGAGGAGAATGGAGGAGAGGGGATTGCAGCGTGACCATCCCCCCTGGGGGGTGATTTCTCGCTTTCTGTCTCTATGTCTCTCTCTGTCTGGCGAGCGCACGCGCCCTACAGTGAAAATCTCTCAAAAAAAAAAATAAATGATTACAGCGAATACTCAGAACTCAAGGCCAGTATAGTGTCACCCTCTGCACTGCCATTTACCTTAAAGAGTAAACACATTGAGGGGTCAGCAGGTGGCATGCTGGGTAAGGTGCTCGACTCCCACATGGCTGAGCACAATTCAAGTCCCACACCCGGGAGCCTGAAAACACCAGGCGTGTGAGCATGTGTGTGCAAAATCCCGAAAGGGAAATGGAGGAGAAAGGGTTGTGACATGGCCATTCCCCCAGGGAGGGTGATTTCTCACTTTCCCTCTCTTTATCTCTCTCTGGTGAGTGCACACACCCAATGACAAAATTTAAAAAGTGTTAAATAAAAAAAAAAAAAAAAAAAAAAGATTTCCTGTGTGTATAGTCATTCTTTAAATATATTGGGGTTTCTCATTTTTTTTGAAAGTAGACAAAATCTGTGGGGTATTTTTTCTTACAATGCTAGAAAAGAACCTTTTTATTTACAAGCAAATACATTTCTTCAATAAGGAAAAGAAAGATTAGTATTTAAAATGTTACGAAGAGCTTTTTCATGGAATTTCTCATCTTGCCTCTTACCTTTTTCCCTGGGTTTTTGCAAAGCAAAATGAAAAAGCTTTCCACCAGGCTTGGGCCCACATGCCAGCCAATCAAACGTTATTCACATGTGGGGATCAAATACAGACCGTGGACATCTAACTCCGAGACTACGGGGCCGGCAAATGCGATACGACACGTGCACGGTGGCAGGACTGAGATGAGAAGGTAGCCTAGTGATGCCTCAGCCTATAAACACGTCCGAGTACATCGAATTGCACTGTAAAATTCTGAACACAAAATACAGTTCTAAGTCAAAAGGCCCCGCACGCCTTCATAACCACATCCGGCTGTCCAGCGCTACAGTCCCCGTTCTCTAGTATGTTAACTGGTGAGGGAACTCTGTCTACCTGGCTGGGAGATGGGTTCTGTGAGCTCGCTTCTTCTGAGCATGGCCAAGAACAAAATCGTATTCTCGGAATGTCCAAATGCAAAGTGCTGATTTTGTGTGTGGAGGGGCTATCAAAGAACTGAATTCCCCTTTCATTCCTGCCATCTCTGCATTTAAAAACATAAAACTACCACATTCTGAGTAAATTACTCTTTGGTTATCATTATTTACTGATGTTCTTAAAAAGTTTCTTTAGGGGCCCGCAGGTGGTGTGGTGGTTGGGGGAGCTGGACTCCCACATGGTCGACCACGGTTCAAGTCTCAGACCTGGCAGCTTGCTTTCTCACTTTCTCTCTCTCTCTCTCTCACTCTGCCCCTCTCTGATCAAATTAAAATAATGAATAAATGGATAATTAAAGTTAAATAAAAAGAATCCTTTTTTAAAAGCTTCTTTAGAAGATATCAAATACATCATATTGCTTTTATATACATTAAAATTATTACAAAATTGGGGACAGCAGGTGGCATTGTGGTTAAGATCCTAGACTCACACATGGTCAACCACAGTCCAAGTCCCAGATCCGGTGGCATGGAAATCATGCTGGGCACATGTGCATGCATGCCCAAAATCCCAGGAGGAGACTGGAGAAGGGATCACGGTATGGCCACCCCCCCCTTGGGTGATTTCTCATTTGTCCTCTCACTGTCTCTCTCTGGCAACACATGTGCCCTATGGCAAAAACCTCGGAAAAAAATTATTACAAGATCAGGCCAGCTGGTGGCATGGTGGTTAGGGCAGCTGGAAATCACATGGCCAACTTCAGGGTTCCAGTCCCAGACTGGTGGCTTGAAAAACATGCCAGGCAAGTGTATGTGTATGCCCAAAATCCCAACAGGAGGAGAGAGAAGAAGAGACTGCCATGTGGTCATCCCCCTGAAGGGTGATTTCTCTCTCTTTCCAGAGAGCACACATGCCGTATACCAAAACTAAAAATAAAAATAAAAATAATTTTTTTAATTTAAATACAATAAAAAGTAATCATTACAAGTTCAACCTAGTTTTCTTTCCTAGGACTAAAGAGAAGCTATAAAACACCATATCAGCTTGGGTATCACAATTTACTAGGGCTCTCTGCTCTGTAACATAATGAATAAAGTGAAGGTTGTTTTTTTTATATAGCTATAGATTGATACGTGTATCTTGCTCTCAAAAGACTATCAAGCTGTAAAGGAAAGCGATCCTCTCAGTGGGCCTAAGCCCCCACATACAGTATAACACGTGCAGCCAGCACACTCTCTGGAACACATCTGAAGGCAAATGTCTTTCAGTTAGATTCTCTTCCTTCAAACCACAGAAATACAGCCCTCGCCATTACTCAAACAGTGATGACAAGTAAATGAAATATCAATCATGTAGGCTGTCAACCTTTTGGGACAGCAATAACTGTTAACAAGTAGTCTGGAAAAATTGTCTGAAAATGACTTGTCCTCGGCACACAAGCAGTTGAGGTTTCCATGGAAAATTAAGATGCCAGTGGCTATTTGGAACATTGCTCAGGTATTCTTTTTAATGGGAAATTTGCCGGTTATTGATCCACGGCATGTACCCCCTTGCTTCTGGAAGGCTGCAAGCAACTTTCCAATCAGTGGCTGTCAAAAAAATTACTGCCTTTTTATACTGATACAAGACAACAGCGGTGGCCGGGCTCTCCTCTAGCTGCTGCTCTCCTTAATTAACTGCTATATATAATGGGTTCGTCATTTCAGTTACCACTGCGCCACCGTCCTAGAAATCAAAACAAATAAAATATGCCTTATCTAACAAATTAATTACAGAGTTGTCTGAAGCTGGTGCTTCGGGTCAAGTTTGAAAACAAATCACCCCAAATGTAAAGGGTCAGATCAGGTGCAATGCATTTTTTCCCCACTATAAAACCTTGCATGCATGAAATTGACCTGTTTGCCAGCTTTATTTATTTACCTCACAAAATAAATAAGTAAAAATGGTTTTACTTTCATTTTAGGCCTGTGCCAAGTCAACTGGCAAACGATATATACTTTCATAATCATTGTGAGAATTTTAAAGCACTCTATCGACATCTCTTTGCACTATGACTGACTGCCACAGTCGCGAGGATACCGCTTTACCAGTGTCTCGAAAACTACTCGTTTCGTTTTGGGTTTTTTATAGCACCTCCAAAGTCAAGTGTATTTTCTGCCGCTGACATAGTGGGTCTGATCTGTGTTTATATGAATGGAGAGTCTTGTGTTCCACGTAGTAAACTGTTAGGTCCCTGGGAAAGTGTGAGGTATTTTTCAATGTTTTTCTATGAAAAAATGCATCGTGACTTTCCCGACGACCCAACAGTTCACACCAAGAATGTGCCATAAAAGGTGGCACATCCTTGTGAGCGACCCTCCACAGCAGGCCCTGAAGAAACAGGTCTAGAGCCAGGTGACTGCTGACAAGGCGTCAGGCCTGGGAACTTAGGCCAGCGCCGAGAGAGCACTCCCCACGGCACAAGGAATAAAACACTGGGCCAAGCCTAGACCTCCTGGCACAGGACAGTCCTGACAGGCCACCAGGCCAGTGCTGCTCAGCGAGTCCAGCAGCTATGGAGGCATCGCACCAGCAGGCGTCTCCTAGCACACGGCCTCGCTGGGGAAACGCACCCTGAGCCTCACCTTAGCTGAGGTGAAGAGGGGTCTACTGGGACCAGCAGTTAGCGTAATGACTATGTCACTGGACTCCCATGTAGTCGACCGTGGTTCGTGTCCCGGACCCGGTGGCTTAAAACTCACGCCGGGTGCATGTGCGTGTGTGCCCAAGATCCCGAGAGGAGAATGGAGGAGAAAGGATTGTGGCATGACCATCCCCCGGGGGGGTGATTTCTCGCTTTCTGTCTCTCTGTCTGTCCAGCGAGCGCACATGCCCTGTAGCAAAATAAAACTCTCAAAATAAATAAATAAATAAATAAATAAATAAATAAAGAGGGGTCTACTCAGAGGACTTGCGAGACTCCTAAGAGATCAGCCAGCAGTTAATAAATCGCAAGCAAGTCGTTCTTAGGTCTTGATCCTTCCTCAGTGTCTTTTTAAATATATTCTCCATTTAAAGGGATTCGCTCCAATTTTGTTCTAAATATTGGGCTGTCAGGAAAATCGTGATGCATTTTTGCATAGCAAAACACGTCATGACTTTCCCGATGACTTCACAGTAATAAAAATAAACAGCAATGACAAAGATAAGACTTCTACTAGACTAAAATCAAAAGAAATAAACAAAAAACTCCTACACCCCGTACGCCTAGATGGTTAACCTGGCTTGGACAAAGAAACATTAATGGTGCCATAACTTGAAGTTATCTCAGTAACTTCATTTTCACTGCTATAACCCTCTCTTGGCTTTTATTACCCCTAACACAAAGCTCTGCACACAGTAGACGCTCGATAACTATTTACAAGATTGACTGAAATGGGGCTGACTCCTAATTCGGCCGCTCATTACCCTCTACAGCATTCGGGAAGTTATTTAACCTTAGTGAACATCGGTTTCCTCCAAATGAGAGCCAAAGAATCACCCTGACGCAGGGTCGCGGTGAGGCCACTCACTGACTGCCGCAGCGGGTCGGGGACGGTGCTCTGTGCGCTGGGAGGC